TTTCATTCTGAATCAAAATTCGGACGAAATTTGGGAAATTCGTCGGAGGATGTACCCGAATTCCGAATTACAGGTATAACGAATGCAAACGAATCTGAATTTCCGATTCGGTTTTTTTAGGCGAACTTTCGTTTTGTGGACGAAATTTCGTTGCAGCAAAGTGACATTTGAGAACAAAAAAAACTTTTTTTCCCTCTTAAAAGTCACTTTGCTGCAACGAATAAACGAAACGAAATTTCGTACGTATTTCTGCTAACAAATGTCGTCTGAATCCGAATTCCGAAACGAATTGACTTTCGGACCCAAATTTCCGAGAAACGAAATAAAGCAAAATCCAAATCAAAACGAAACACATTTTTTGCTGGTGCACATGTCTACAAGCCATGCTACAAATTGTTCAGATACAGGGCAGTATTGAGGCCCAGATCTGTGTGATGAATAAAGAAACATGTGTATCTGTGTGGAAACATTTGAATAGAAGATATACATAATAGTGAAATCCGCACCTGGTAGCAATACATAACTTTTCTCTCTCTTTCTCAGTAAGAGCTTATGCGTGCAGCTTATGCGTGCCTAATAGTATACCTCCTAATTGTCCCTAATTCGGAGGGACTGTCTCTGTTTCGGAACCACATCCCTCTGTTCCTCTTTCCTCTTCAGTTGTCTCTCTTTTTGGTCTGATGTACAGATATCTATGAAAATTTACTATTTAACTACCAAAAGTGTTATTTTGAATTAAAACCTTTATATTTCCTCTTAATTATCTCGTATGCTATTTTGAAAAACAGTATAAAGAAAAAGAAATGGTGGAAACAAAAATTTGAGGCTTTACCAATTATTTTTGGCATCAAAATAATTACTGGTACGCATAACTGTGGGTGTGGCGGGGTTGTGTCCATTGCCTAAATACAATGTGCTGGAAGGTGTTCTCTCAGAATCTTTGTCATCTCAGAATGTTGGGAGGTATACCTAATAGAATCACTACAATCCAGCGTGGAATTTTGTTTATGCAGTGCCACATACCAATCCATGCAGTATTACCCCCATAACCTCAGCAGGTATAGCTCTAATCATCTGATCTGGCCATATTCAGACAATGGCAATAACGTTTTATATCTTTGGGCATTTTGTTTTTACAGTTATGGGCTCAAGCTACCCATAGACATTACATTGTGGGCTGACGAAAACAGGTGGTTCTGAGTCAAGCATACCTAAACAATCCATGTATTATGTATCCAGACAGATGGGCCCTTGCACTGCTTGAATATTGGTAGATTTAAAGTAGATTTTACACTGAAATTTTAATATGTACGGTCAGCTAAAAGTAGAACTGCAGCCAAAACATGTTTTTTGTAGAAAAGGGTTAAAATACAAATAGGTTTTATATTGGTGCCTGGTCTCCAATAGGGATATTTCTCTGTACTTCCTATCCAGAAAAACACAACAGGAAGTCAGTGGATCTTTCTAAGATGAGGGCAAATCCCACCTTTTCATGATGTCATAAAAACAGGTGTCCCCGTTGGAAGAAATCCTAATTGTATTCCAAAGACAACTGTAAAATTTTGACATCCCCCTCACTATCTCTCCTGAAGACAATGCACTCCAGCACAAATACTGAGAGGTGATCTCCCCAGTGGAGACATAAACAGTTTTGACTACAGCTGGAATTTTTCTCATCTATTTACCTACAAGAGATAATCAAACAATCACATACAATACACATGTGCATGTGTACCTGGAAGCATAATTTTGGCATTATCTGGCACTGTTATGTGCCTATTTTGTGTTTAAAAAGATCAATACTGTTAATAGAAGGATATTTTGTATGTAAGATTGTATTTACTAAAGAACTGTTGAGCACTGCCTATGGCTATCCCTAGGAAAGTTTTCCTACAGACTCTACATCAATGTGGTCTGGAGTTTGTTAAATGTCAGGTGTAGTATTAAACCCCAGTCTGCTACTGATGGCTTCTTCCATTTCTTGTCTGTATATATCTGGGTCATTTGACTCTCTTTGTTTGTGGCCTCCAGGCTATAGAAGTAGTGGTGTGACCTTTAAAGTACATCTGGGTCAGCCAAAATGAATTACTGTAAGGGAGTAATGCTTGCTTACTAGCTTTTTACTGAATGCATTTCGGAAGGAGAATTCAGTAGAACACAATTGATTTTAAAGGAAAAGGTTTATTTCCTTTAAATGAAGACAGATGACAGTAATTATTGCATGTGGAGGATTTTGGGGATTTTGCCTGTTTTTTAAATCTCCTATGGCTGCAACAGAGCAGTGGTGGAATTCCAGGCGAGCTATTAAGACTGTCCACTCCGTAGTGAGGCTTTGCTCATTGCGATTGCTCAGTTTCCTTCATTTCAGATATTAGGTCATGGAACAGCCTTTATGACAGCTGCAAATAATCAGCTTCACGTATGCAAACGGAAATCAGCTCCTTTGTGCAGATGTACTATCATTTAGAAAATTGCAGCGGTATTAAATGTTGGGATGTTTACAAAGTGTCTTGTAATGATGAGGAAAATGAAAGATAAATTACAGTCAATCCTGGATTTAGGGGAAAGGCACTGGCTGGTAGACCTACACAGAATAAAAATAGACAATGCTGGATTAGCCTAAAGCATTAAAAGAACAGATGGCTTCCACCAACCTCCCTTGGTCTTCTTTCCATGTGCCCTGCTCCCACATTGACATATTTTCTCTAGGCTCAGATAAGATACTGCTAGACACATGACTGTGTGGACCGGGTGGAGAGGTATTAGAATACCAGTCAGGTTTTTATTGCTCTCTATGAAAACCTTAGGGAGATTCATTTGTCCTGGTGACCGAAGAAAATCCCAAATTTTGGGTTATCACCAGAACAGGAAGAGATGGGAAAGCTTCCAATGGGGGCACTAGTTCAAGTGACCCTGCTGACCACCTGGGATTTCCCTCACTTTGGAGAGATTTCTTCTCACTTATTGATGTACTGTAGCTGTCTGACAGTAAGTGAAGGGAAATCTCCCCAACAAAACGCAGATGGCAAAAAACAAAAAGCTAACAAGTTATAACCCTCCCTTCCTCTAGCCAAAACTAAAATAAATGTTTTGGCTTCAGTTCTACTTTAATCTCCTGCCTGTAGTATGCCTAAACATCGCCTGCCCTGACTCCTGTCTGTTTAAAAAAACTGTGGAACCAGCACACAATAATCTTCCAAAGAAATTCAAACTTTATTCCACATGCATCTGTACAAAGCAAAACCGCTAGTGTTTGTGCTTTGTACAGATGCATGTGGAATAAAGTTTGAATTTCTTTGGAAGATTACCGTGTGCTGGTTCCACAGTTTTTGAGCCTATTACTCCAGAAGAGAGTCATCCGTGCACCGAATGTGGATTGCGGGGACGCATGATAGGGGTGAGCTGTACGATTCGTGTTTTCAGTCTACCTGTCTGTTTACAGTATTTGCTCTTGCCTGAAGGTACAGTACTTTACTATGGCTGCTTGTTAGCTGTGAGCAGTGAGAAAATATAAGGGCTAAGACCTGGAAACATCACCCAGCAAACTCAAACCTCTTCACGGTGTCACTGGCAAAGTGTCTCTCCTTTTGCTCGGTTGACTAACTAACAGGTCCTTTACACTATATACAGTTATTTGACACTCGCTATCTCCAGTGTATTGTTGTTACACTGTTGATCATTCCAGGTTTGTCAGATGTTCCTCTCTAGATTTGTTCTTTCTTGCTACAATTTCTAAAGTTATACTAATCAGCAGTACTGAAGAAGGGGACACAGATTGCCAAAACGACCTCTCCTATGTTTTCAATAAATATGCCAGCTTCTTAAAGCGGACCTTTACTCATATCTTCAAAATAACAACAAACACGCCTTAAGAAATGTTTAGTAATGACAACCTACAAACACCTACAGTACTTCTAGATATTTGTGTTCTTTGCATACCTTATTTCTCTTTTCTTCCCCAGTCTTCTGACAGCGGCCATGTTTACTAAGGGCAGATTACTATTTCTGCTTTTACTTCCTGGATTTCTGGCACATGTGACCAGACATATGACTAGGACATGTGACCATGCGCATCATCTCAGGGGAGGAAAATACCTTTCCCTGAGATCTCATGAGATTACAGATGAGATTTCCCAGCAATGCTCTGCTGATGACAAGGCAATCCCAGTGTGCGTTGCGTTGGCAAACTGAAGTCATTTTGACCTTTCAAAGCAGGAAGTGAATGCTCTGCAAGTTTAAGTATTTCAAAATCACAGCATGTAACACCGGACATGTCTTATAAATCATCATACATAGAGGGATGCATTGGTAGAATTTGATTTTTGAGTGTAAATGTCCGCTTTAAGATAATTGTCCTTGTACAGCTTTCTTTGAATGTAAGCCTTTTCCCTCCTTTTGTGAGTGTGCTCGTATTTCTGTATCTTCTCCTATGTATTCAACACAGGAGAATTTGTGATATCAATTCAACCAATTGAGCTTGTGACTTCAATTTAAACATTGTTACAACTCAATCTGCTCCTTCAAACATCTCATCTCAGCTCATCTCATTCCCTGGTAAAGAAAAACAGGCTCTTACAACCATTATTTTCTCTTGAAAAAACAAAAGGACAGCTTTAGATAGATAAATTTAACACGTTAAAACATTACTCACAAACCAGGGTAAATATATTTGAGATATAATCTGCACTTCCAACAAGCTCATCATGCCAACCTAAAAAGATATTCTAGCCATGCTGGACCCGCCAGCTGCTGATTTTAAGCACTGACACGTTTCTAAGTTGTGCCCCCTTCATCAGAACCCATGACCCAGTCGGATTTGGATTGCTGCCTTCTCTGGTGACAAGCTATATACTGTATGAAGATTAAACTGAACAATATGTGACTTGCCAGTGGTGCGGGTTTACTGATCAATGATATTATTTTCACTTGATTTGAATGCTATAATTTTTGTTGTTCCATGATGCATTGCTTATGATGTTTACTTTGTGTTATTCTTGCAGAACTTCTACATGACCAGAAAAGGAAGTGCAGATATGAAGGACATGAATGAGAAGAATAAAGTGTCTTTGCTGGAGGTAAGGGAGGAGGGTCTGCAGAACACAGAGGGGCACTTCACATAAAGTAATGGGCATTAACAATTTATGGGGTTTTTCCTTTTTTAAGAAGAATGTGGAAAACCCTTCCAGTTGCAGCTTCTGCGGATCGACTGCTGGCTACCGCACTTGGAGCTTTGCCAGTAAACTGCTGGTAGAATGTATAAATGCAGTTCAGAGGTCAAGCACTATACCAACCACCTACGGGTTAAGTGGGGTCTGAGTGTGGAGACCCCCAGTAGTCTGCATCTGCCCACATGTGAAGGTCTTTTCCAATGTGCTGCTTTGTGTTTTTGAATGTATGTTCTTTATGTTTATGTAAAACAAAACAAAGGTATCAAAGAATGCTGCCTACTCTATTTTATTATATTATGTAAAGCTTATGTCAAGGCAAATTAAAAAGAAACGTGCAATAAAGCTCTGCAATACATTTCTTCATGCTTTTACTCTTCTAGGACAACATAGCTGATTTGGAAAAATTCTCCAATTCAGCTCGCTTTGCTGTTCAGTTATGTTGTCCTAGATTGTTCACTTCTCCTGCCTTCTCCAAACTCTTCACCCTTTTGTGAATAACCCTGTAAGTGTCAATTGTCAGAGGATGTGGATTGGACCATAATGGAATGTCTGCTCCACTATGGAGCAGACATTCCGGCATCTATCTTGGTGATGGACGCCGGCAGAGAGAGGAGGGGGCAGTCACCCGGCTGGATAAGGTATGCCGCCTGGTCCCCTCCTCTCTGTCCGTCATTTTGGTGTCACCCCTCCAATGGTGTCACCAGGGTGCGGGCCGCACCCCCCACACCCTCCTTGTGACGCCACGGGTTGAGTTATATCACCTCGTTTTCCTGTTTACTCTGCAACCAAAAAAAATCCTTCATTAGGCGGGCCTTCCATGTGTATTATTCTTCAGAGTCTGTTTTGTGACAGATGCAGCTCTTTGAAATTTCCACATATGTCTTGTTGCCTAAATTAGGTTTGCTGCTCTCGTCTGTTCTTGTTCCAAGTATTCTGTTTTCTATACTGCGCAATGGTTAAAGCTGCATCCTCCATCCACCATATGTGTAATCAGAGCTGTGCAGCACACGACAAATGTGCATATCATCCCAAGCTGAAAACTTTTCAGTAAAGCAAATAGGAGCATATAAACTGCAGTATTCCATAGCAGCCGAGTCTCGCTTTCCTTTGATATGAGTTCACTTAGCTGAAATCTGATTGGTTTGCTATGGGTTAAGGCATTTTGTATACAATATTGTTCTTTATTGAATAAGCACAAATGTGGGGGTCTTTGGCCTGCAGCCACCTATATGTTACCCAGCTTCTCACCTTTAAAGCCTAATTGAAGTCACAGAAATAACGATTCAATCAGACAGACATTGTGCTAACGACCTCCGCCTTCATTATAATTGCCTTACCTCCACTTTTACAGCAGTTGTGTAGAGTGGCTAAATATGACTTTGTAATCCATTAAGCACCAGAAGTAGACTCAGCACTACTAGAAATCAGCTCTCAGTAACAGACCTGGTCTGAAACACCCCTTCTCTTCCTCTGTTTTATGAGTCCGTGTGGGGTGCATGGCTGTAACTCAGCTATGCTGGCATACAGCACTGGAATGGGAGAGCAGGAAGCAGAATTTTAGGGACTTTCAGTGCTTTAAGGAGAACACAGAAGTGCCAGCCATCTTCCATCTGGTCCAACAGTCTCCTTATTTCTTCATTTTAATTCCCTAGAGGTGATAGGAAGCGACTTTCTGCCACAATGGACTATGCTAATTTCAGGGCACTGCACACTTCTGCAGCTTCCCATCCATTGATATGTCTGCTCCGGAACTCGTAGTCAGTAAATTGGGTCAAGGTTTTGAGAAGGTTTTAATACTTGATACTGCAATAAATAGATGATCAGTCCTGTGATGTATTTGTCACAGGTCGGCTAGAACTATGAGGTGAGTGAAAAGCACTCACCTCATAGTTCTCCTTTAATAGGCTGCTCCTCAGGCCACACATGCATACCAACCATTCGGAGTCTTATGGAAAACAAATAGAGTGCAATTAAGTCCAACAAATAGAGGCGCACAACAAGAATAGAACAGTAAGATGATGAGGTATGGGAATTGTTTTTTATGTGGAGTTACCGTGTTTCAAGACTTACACAAATCCCCCTTGCTCTGGACTTTAGAACCGTGCTGTATATAACTGCTTCTATATTCCATTATATAGTCTATAGTCCAGACATGTAAGTTTCGTTTCATTCTGACTTGAAATTTGGACATATTATTTTTAAATTCGGACATTTGGATGCATCCGAATTTCAGAATTTGAATTTATTGGAAAGTTTCAGATGTATCTGAATCCAATTTTTTTTCCTGCATTTTGTTCAAATTTCCAATTCTAATGATCAGTATGGCTTAAGATGACCAGTACAGACTAAAATGACCAGTACGGACTAAGAGGACTATTACATACTAAAATGAGCAGTTCAGAACTAAAATGACCAACCACCCCCACCCCCCAAAAAAAATTAGGCTAATTTTTAATTAAAGAACCCCATCCGAATTGATCCAAACCGACGAAAACAAAACATTTGAATCAATCTGAATTCAGAATTATGTACCAAATTAAATTTTGGATCCGAAATCCGGAAAAAAAATTTAAATCAATCTCAGTCAAAAACAAAGTTATGTCACAGAGCTTCATCAGTAAAACAATATTTTAGAAAAACAATAGTTTATTTCAGTATGGACAGAGACAATGTAAATGTTTCCTTGTATAGATGTTAGAAGTTACATGTTTGTTTGTTTTTTATTGTTATCTAACAGCAAAGTTTCTGTGGTCCCTCCATTGTTGTGCCGGAACTTGAAGCAGCAATATATTTGAAAGAAGACGGGAAGAAATCCTGGAAAAAACGATATTTCCTTCTGCGCGCTTCTGGAATTTATTATGTACCGAAAGGGAAGACAAAGGTTCGTAATTCAGTCTAAAGTATCTCTGGGTATTGCAGTCAAATACTTTTTATGGTAAGATAGATAATATTCATGACTGCATATGGTCAAGGACAGAGTCAGCGGTAGCTCCCCCATATGGCACTGAGGAGCATAGGAAATTCCTGAACTGCTCAGTGACATCTAGGAGCACTAGTGCCATTAAAAATGGTATGCACGCAGCCAGGGCAGCAGAGAGGGAGGTACAGACAGCCCTCCTGTATTGGGTCCGGGCCTCATCAAGTCAGAAGGGGGGCCTGAGCCCTTCACAGGCAGCCTCTAAAGCAGGAGGACTGTCCTGCCCACTTGCCAGAGTAACAGATTGATGGACCGGCTCCTCCCCTCCTTCCTTATAGGTGTCTTGGCTCCCTGTTCAAAGAAGGAGGAGAGAAGCCTGTCCATTGACTAGTTACCATGGTGAGTGGGCAGGCCAATCAGGATCTTGCCCAATCGTCGCAACTGTGCTGGACAGCTGCAGCCAGGGCTAGTAGTTTTCAACCACTGCTGTGGCCAGCTAACAGAGATGTAATTAGGCTCTGCCCCTGTGCCACACACAGCCCATGGTGTCTCGGTCAGCAGGAGCTAAAGTCCAGGGGGTGCAGAGGTGAGCAGTGTAGGGAGAGGCTTGCAGGGTGTGCAGAGGTGATCAGTGTAGGAAGAGGGTTGCTGGGGCGAGCGGTGTAATGAAGAGGGATGGAGGGGGTGCAGAGGTGAGCAGTGTAGGAAGAGGAATGCAGGTTGTGCAGAGGTGATCAGTGTAGGAAGAGGGTTGCAGGGGTGAGTTGTGTAAGAAGAGGGATGGTGGGGGTGCAGAGGTGAGCAGTGTAGGGAGAGGCTTGCAGGGTGTGCAGAGGTGATCAGTGTAGGTAGAGGAATGCAGGGGGTGCAGAGGAGAGCAGTGCAGGTTAGAGGGTTGCAGGGGGTGCAGAGGTGTAGGAAGATGAATGGAGGGGGTGCAGAGATGAGCAGTGTAGGGAGAGGCTCGCAGGATGAGCAGTTTTAAAAGAAGGTTGCAGAGGGTGGATTGGTAACCAGTGTTGGAAAAGGGGGGCAGGGGTGAATCAAGGTAGATCAACAGACATACATGGCAGGCACTAGGCAGGTGAAAATAGTGTATGCACATACAATAAATGTATGCTCATACATATTCCCATGCATTTATTATATACATATAGATACAAGTAAGGGAATGTGAAAGATGTATTTCCATACTTTTATTGTATTTCCAATTAGCTGCCTTAAAGTGGAAGTAAAGTGTGTTTTTAAAAAATGCTGATGGGCAGGTATTTATAGCAAAGACTGTGTTAGTCTCTTCTGCCAAAACAGCTCCTACCTGCCTGCTAGCAATTGGTTTTTTTTTTTACCGCACAGACCCACCATTCCTCTTGCACATTAGAGTGTGATGCAGCAACTCACTGTGTGATGCTTAGCCGTGAGGGGGGGGCTGTCATTTAGGGTATATGGAGCCCCAAGATTTCTAATGGCGGCCCTGCATGCAGCTATATGCCAGAAGTTTTATAAATAAAGCCGTTTATAAATTCCTTTGAATAAAAATCCATCCATAGAAGCCATCTTCCTGTAAAATAAACCTCTTATTATGTACAGTAATACACAATGAAGCCATTACATGATGTATGTATTATTCTATTGATTGGTGTCGTTTTGGTAGAACAGATGATGAAAACATGTATAAAACTCTTTCTGTTGTACAAAAAATGTCTTATCCCAGGTCCAGCAGCATTGTACATGCGGATTTATCCATGCATTAGGAGAATCATGTAAATATTTGATTGATGAAGCATCTGTAAGTGCGTCTATGTCACCTCTTTGTCACATGAAGCATTTCAAATAGCGTGAATAGGCACAGCGTGAAAATGCTGCATCCAAACAGCTCCTGGGTGCCCGTTATCTGGGGTTGCCATAGCAACCGCTCAAGAACAAAAAAAGGGAGACTTTAGAACAAATGGCAGGGAGGAGGAGGATGAGGCGCCGCATAATAGCTCATCCATTTTTTCACTGTAATTTTACATAAAAAGAAAAACAAAACGCATTCAGTTCACCGGAGGAAACATCGATTTTCAAGGGAAAAAAAGGAAAAGGCGTTGCAATTTGATTTTATTTTTCTTTATCACAAAATGCATTTTGTTTTTTTAAGCTCAACCAAGATGAATTCTTTATGATGATAATAAAGGCGTAGCTCATAGCAACCATCATGTTTTTATCTGTCAAATAATAGGTTGATGTGTCTTTCTGGCCCCGCCCAGATTGATACATTTTCTTGGTAGCCATGGATGATCTGTGAACACACAGAGCTTTTTTGTCAGCAAATAAAAGTTAATTGGTGGAAACTTCAATTATAAAAAGGGGAAGTGGTTGCAAAATTATTTTATTTTTGTTTTGATGCAAAATGTTTTTTTTTTAAATGAAATCTCTATGACACGCAACCATGATGAAGTCTTTATAATAATTTTATGCATAGGTGCTGCTCAGAGCAACCATGCATTTTTCATCTGTTAAATGATTGGATGATGTGCCTTCCTGGCCCCGCCCAGATTTATACAGTTTCCTGGTAGCCATGGGCAGTGGCGCCACAAGTGGGGGGGTGTAGCCTACACAGGGTGACACCGTCAGAGGGGGTAAAGAGAAGTATGGACACCTGCACTTCAGATGCAGTAAAAATACATTTATTTATTGCCGAAGATGCAGCATATATCACACACAGTGCAACGTTTCGGGGTCTCGCAGGATCCCCTTCCTCAGGCAGGCATCTTGGTCAATAAATAGACGCATTTGTACTGCATCTGGAGTCCCGGTCTCCATACTTCTCTTTGTGCCTGATAACGGTTGCCATCCGATGATCACCGCTGCACCCACCTAATCTATATGGAAAAAGCGGTCAGGAGTCCAATGGGTTCACAGACTTCATCAGAGGCGGTGACACCAAACTGACTGACAGTCATTTTGGTGTCACTACCTCTTAAAAGTCAGGCACTCGTTCATGGCCCGAGATTACGACAGCGGCAAGAGAGAGAAGACCCCGCGGCATACCTAATCCCACCGGGTCAATATCCCCTCCTCTCTTTGCTGGCGTCTATCACCAAGATGGGCAACGGCGGTGAAGTGCATCACCGCAGATGCATGATGATGTCACACCATAGACGTCATAATGCATGCACGGCGGCCGCACCAGGTGACACCCATCAAGGTTCTGCCGCTGCCCATGAGTGATTTGTGAGCATACGGAGCTTCTGTGTCAATAGACAAAGGGTGGAATGTATCAAAACTGGAGCAGACAGAATTTGGAGCAGTTGCCAATGGTAACCAATCAGCATCTCTTTTCAGTTTGTTCAGTTAAGATTTGAAAATGAAAGAGAGACGCTAATTGGTTACTATGGGCAACTGCTCCAATTTTGATAAGTTCCCCTCCATATGTTTTTTTTTTTTTTTATAATGGTATTTCTACCTCAATAATTATGTCACACTGTCTGAAAGAACAACTGTAAGGTTCTTTTCTTAATTTCCCATTTGCTAACCTGCCCTGGAAACATGGATGCTAAATGGTTGCCGTTGGCAACAGAGAAGGTTTTTTTTTTTCTCCCAGATGTTTCAACCGCAATGCCAAATGTATCTTTCTGTGTCTACAAACTTTGTCAGTGCAATCATCCTCTTTGTCTTCCCCTTGTGTTTCCTTTGCAGACATCTCGTGATCTGGCCTGTTTTATACAGTTTGATAATGTCAATGTTTATTATGGCATGCAGTTTAAAGTCAAATACAAAGCTCCGACGGACCACTGCTTTGTCCTGAAGGTATGTTGTGTGCGTAAACATCACGGTTAGGAAAAGTGCAGATTGCCTTTAATTACGCTGATTATTAAATCATTTTAGGTACTCAGAGATTTATTTGGATAATGATGTATGGTTTATTTTATATGGGGTACAGCGAGAATTCTCATCTACGGCTCACTTGTTTACCACAAAGAATTTCAGCTCTTGATGTGTTGTAATGTGGGAAGCTTTCTGCATCGCTCAATGAGATGGGTTGTGGATTAGAAAAGTGCTCCGGACAAAAATGAATAATTTAGAAGTTTACATAAATGAGGAGATGCAGCCTACCTGCTGCACGGCTTTAAAGCTTTGCAATGAGGAGGGGGGTGGGGGGTTAACCTTGCAGTGGGTTCCTCTCCGCAGTGCATGTCAGTATTTCTGAGACATTTTTCAGTCACGGCACCTTTTAAAAGGATGCAAAATTTCAAGGCACCCCAGTCCAAAAATGTAAATGTAAAAAATGGCGTGTGGTTCCCCCCCCAAAAAAAATCAATATCAAACCCCTATCCTAGAGGGGACCCTTTATCCAGGAGTCTGGCATGGATTTTATGGATTTTAAGGGGGGACCCCCCCAGGCAAAGAAAAGAAAAAGATGAGTATCCCCCTTTCACATTAGAGTCTCACCTTCACATCAGGAGCCCCTTTCATATCATAGTCCTCTTCACATTAGAGTCCCCCCTTTCACATCAAGAGCCCTCTTCACATCAGAGCCCCCCTTCACATCAGAGTCCTCAGTCCCCCTTTCACATCAGAGTCCCCCCTGCACATCAGAGTCCTCTCTTCACATCAAGAGCCCCTTTTTAGTAAAATTTGAAGACACCCCTGACAAAGCCACAAGGCTCCCCTGGGTCACAAAGCATTCCAATTGAGAAGGGCTGACCTACAGGATGAAGAAAAGGTGATATAATTACCTTATTTTTCATTCCTACAGGTTTCCTCCATACTGTAAGAACAGTCCCCGAGAGCCGCTTCCCTTCGCTGCCCAACCAGTTGTAGCTCTCTGACATTGTCCTGTATAATCCAGGACTAGAAGTCCTGCATTGTAGGTGAGGTCACTGAGGGCCCATCCACAACCCAGGATGCCGGACAGCAGAGGAGGGAAAACCGACTGCTTTGCTGGGGGAGCGAGGAATAAGGTAAGTATTTCACCTTATTTATCACCTCCTAGACCAGGGGTAGGCAACCTTGGCACTCCACCTGAGGCAAAACTACAAGTGTCATGGGGCATTCCAAGACGTTGACCGCCACAGGCATGACTCACACAAAAGGAGCGGTAACCCTTGTAGTATAGAGGGGGTTCCACTGCAAGGGTAGAGTTTTTAATTCTCGGTATTGCATGCGTGATCCCAATGCACCAGAATGGTAAAGTGTAAGTGGGCCCTTAAACTTTTTATCAAAAAGACAACGTTGTTCCTTTTTAGATGTATACTGTGGCTAGCAGAGTTCTTCTTTAAGTTCAGCTCCCGTTCATCCCATGTAACATTTCCTATCTATAGAACATAATAGATCTTGGACGGTGGATCATCCTGGCTATACATTAAATTACATTTTCTAGAAACCCAGCTGTGTTCACTTATAGCTGCCTTGTATTACGTGCGGTGGATTACCATACGTCTGCATGTAACTTCCTATCTGACATATGTTTGTCATAATTCTAATTAAACTGTAAATTCGAGCATCATTCACAGAGACGTTTCATTTATGAAATATTTAATCCGATCCCTTTATCTACAACATTCCTGAGTACAGAAGGATACATATGGAATTCCAGACCATGTCCTGCCATCTGCTGGTAGAGGGGTGTAAATATCCCATTCAAATTTTTCCACCATCTGAAACCCTATTGATACATTTGCTGTATTGGGCCAACCACATGCATAAGAAAGCTCTCACCAGATTTGAGACTGAACCCTCAGACAAAAGATCATTCCATAAATATTAACGACTTTGTATAATAAAAAAAATCTTCTTATTAAAGAGATGTTGCCAGATAATATGAAAACAATCCTTCGAAGTACAGGAAATGTGCATGCCTATTGGGCATGAACATATGAGCATCTGTAGATGAAAAAAACAAACATACATAGAAATCATTTATGTGATAGAAAACACCCCAAATATTCCCGAAAATTCTGAAATTCTAACCATGGCTGGTTTTGCCTGCACCACTTGGCTGGACGAGCTTCAGCTGAAATATCCAAGGAAAAGTGATAGGGGAAAAGTGTTTGCAGTCAATCAGCTTTAGTCACTTTTTGGGTATTTTGAAAGCCAGCACCTGCGCAGCAAGCAGGGAAGATTCCTCCATTCATTATGCTTAGCGTGGATGGGGGATTTGAGTGGTTGAACGAGAAGAAACTATCAGGGTTATTTTGCGTGTTTTTACTATTAAATAACATTTTTACACTATGGAGGCGCTCTCTTTTGTTCCTTTTCTCATAGACTGGTTGTCCATCTAATCTGTGGGAGCTGCCTCCATCGTGTTTGCTGTATTTTTACCGCTGGTCTCTTTTTGGATTTGAGGGCGCCGGTATTGTTTTACAATTTATTCACAAAAGGGTGAAGAGTTTGGAGAAGGCAGGAGAAGTAAACAATCTAGGACAACATAGCTGAACTGGAAAGTGAACTGAATTAGGTAATTTTTCCAGTTCGGCAATGTTGTCCTAGATTGTTCACTTCTCCTGCCTTCTCCAAACTCTTCACCCTTTTGTGAATAACCCTGTATATGTGTAAGGCCAGCTTTAGACAAACAAGCAATTAACTAGAAATTGCAGGTCAGTTAAAGTGGAACTATGCTCACTTCCACTCCACCGATGCAACATCCATGAGTTCCCTTGTTGGCGCCAACATCTTCACCCAGTCTTCTTCCGGGTTCAGGATCTTCAGCCATCATGATTAGCTATATCGGGATGACGGTACTCCTACGCATTCATGGGAGTTGATACATACCGGCATATGCTAAAATTGTTCACTGAGCTATGCTGCATACATAGCTCAGTGTACATTGCCCTTAAGAAGGTGAAAGGGCAATTAAGAGTCCTTTATTGCAGAAGAAACACAATGATTATGTGTCTTGTCTGCAATAACAAAACCCGACTGGTTGCCCCTTTTTTTTTTAAGAATAACAGAAAACATACGCTATAACTACACAATCACTGGCAGCACCACAACAATCAATCACACTCATTGTTAGGGATAATATCAAACAATAGCACCCACTATACTCGCATTATTTCATAATCTCTCCCCATGCTTGTTAGGTGTAAAGTGGAACCATGGCCAGGGTTGAAATGCAGATATGTTAACTTTTCTACCTAAAAGGATTTAGCAGCATTTGTTATTCATACACATCTACCAGGCAGCATAGCCAGGATGGTGACACCCCTCTCCTCTCTCTCTCTCTGGCTGCTGATTTGCTTATGAAGGAGTAGAAAAACACTGATAAGTTATCAACTCTATTCAATCTTTTCTCTCCCACTGCTAGGCTGTTCCTTGTCAGCACATGTGCACAGCGTAATTCTGCCCGGCCATAATTGTGATTTACACTCGCTTATCATATAGTATACTCATATATGCCTCCTGTGGCAGCTTATTAGTCTCTCGGTCTCACCTCTTAATCTCTGAGCTATGGATCACTAATACAGACCATGGCTGAGGGCTCTTGGGTTCTGTACAGCTTGGATGGCTATGGAATGTGCCCAGTGCCTAGTGTCAATTGCTAGTAGAGTGGACTTGATGGGGAGCTAGTCCCTCAGCTTCCCCATCAGGCTCTGCCTGCTATCAGTGTCATTGTTTGCTAAAGGTCATTGGCTGTGCATCCCTGGGCCCTTTCAGCTTCCGGACAGGAGATTCCCCAGCCGACAGCTGGATTTAAACAAATGGGCAAGGCAAGGATACTGACTAACATCATTACCCAAATATCGCCATTTGGCAGGGTATGCGTTATTGGATCCTAGGATGCCAACAACTGATGATGTCCTAGCAACCCTCATCGTGAAGGTGTTAAAGTCATAAAAGCTTCCCAGCACATACATGTCCTAGCCTGAGCACTGGCATAGCTCTGTATGACAAAACAGATTTGGCCTTTTCTAATCTGTATACAGGCGGTAATTCTTTTTGAAATTGTTGTAGCCATAGCAACAGGTTCTTGAAGTGCCACTAATCTGATCAGCCTGAATATTTTGTATGTGTCAGTAAAGCTACCAAAACTGGCGGCAGGGATTCTTTGAATTAGGTGAAGGACCTTTTAAAGGTCTTTGCCATCAGAAAAGTGGCGCTAAGCCATTATTGAATTGCCCCCAGTGTATTTAGCTGCCTTGGGAAGGAGGGGCTTTTTTTAATAAATACTGAAATTGTCCTTTAAGGTTGAAACAATGTTACTATAAACTTACAAATAAACCACCCGAAAATAATGCTATATACAGTGAACAGGTAACTGACTGTACAAATAGATGGTCAATAATATAAATACAGTATACATGTATACTTCCCAAAAACTCAGTGTTGGCTGAGTTTGTCCTAAAGGGGTAGAGCTTACAAGAGAAAGATTGCTGCTTTTCCAGATATAATCCCTTTGGGTCAATATTCAGATGTATTAGGGGTGGGAATGAATGTGTTCTGGGTTTTTTATTCTGCAAGGTAGGGAAGTATATGTTTGGAGATTTCAAAGGTTGCAAAAGTATGTAATTAATCACGCTTCTTATTTTTTAGCATCCACAAATTCAGAAGGAATCACAGTATGTTAAGTATCTGTGCTGTGACGAACCATGGATTCTCCACCAATGGGTTACTGGCATCAGAATCGCCAAGGTAGGCAAAAACAACAGCTACTACTAGTAGGCATACTAGAGGTGCCATACAGGTCTTTACGGCTTGAAGGTATGATCAACCTACCAACCTACCATGTGTGTATAGTAGGGATGCACCGATGCCGTTTTTTTTTTTGTATTGAGTACAAGTACCGATATTTTCCCCACTACTCGCCGATACCGCATACCGATACCGGAAGTCCCATTAAGAAAGCCAGGCGGTGTGTAATGACTCACCGCCGGCTTCCTGATTGGCCAGCTTCCCAACCAATCAGGAAGCCGGGTGACATGTAATTACGTGCTGCCAGCTTCCTGATTGGCCAGGAAGCCGGCTCCATGCTCCCTCGTCACCAAGTGTATTTGTTCTTGCAAAAATGTAAATGATAACTACACACAGAACACACACTTGTATGTCATAATTCTCCACAAGCTACACTAAAATATGAATTGTTGTAATAGAGTTCTCTAACACGTTACATGATACTAGAATCCCACAATGTCATCTTGATTGGTCTTGCAGTTTGGGAAGGTTTTGTATGACAACTACAAGTCTGCCATCCACAAAGCAGGTCTGGCCTCTCGGTGGTCAACGCTCAGCAATTCCTCAGCACCAAGTACAACAGGTATGACAACAATTCTCTCTCCCTATTGTGTTACTACCACTCTTATGTGGTGATGTATAAAGAAATATGAGAAGGGGGTAAAGTTTCTACCAGCTAAACAAGTTCCAGGCGTTGTATATCTAGTGCAGATTGGAGCATAAAACATAACATGTAATTGGACTGTACACATATTTAACCACTTCAGATCTCACACACCCCCTATAGACCGGAGCAATGTTTACATTTCTGCTATTGGTCTGTTTATTCAGGAATAACTCAGGGGTGGGCAACTCCGGCCTTCCAGCTATGCTTTAACTACAACTTCCAACATGCCTCTGGGAGTCATGCCTGTAACTGTCAGTCTTGCAACGCTTTATGGGATGTGTAGTATCACAACAGGGCCGGAGTTGCCCACCCCTGCCTTAAGACAACAAAGTAATACATATATCTTTTTTTTAGGACAAACAAAGCTTTTTTTGGGTGATAATATCTTGCAAAAACTATTTTATTTTTTATGCAATCCATATACAAAACACGTAACAAAACTAACAAGTGTTCGTTTTTGATCAGTGTTAGTTTAAAAAAAGATTGTAAGTGTAGATTAAAAGTACAAGTATAAACTGTATTCTATAAGTTATCCTGATAAATTCCCCCCATTGTGTTCCCATGGAGGTGGACATCAAGATATGTGCAATAACATGATGTACTCAGTGTAGTGCTGAAGAACAGAATGCCGTCTAATGATATCATTTGGAGATTTTCCAGCATTGTTAGGAATAACTTCAGAATTCATTGTGTACAGAACTGTGTTGCTTTAAAGGAGAACTATGAGGTGAGTGAAAATCACTCAGCCTCATAGTTTGAGCCGGCGTGTGATAATGAAACTGTCACACGTCGGCTCAATAGATCGGGAAGTGAGCGAACGCATACCGTCACTCGCTCACTTCTCGATCATATTCCTGCAGAGAGCCGTGACTGTCACTCATGGCTCCCTGCAGGGATTCCCCCCTCCCCACTCCGATCCTCCAGAAGACGGTATACTACACACGCCCTGTGTACTTCAATCATGTATTTGGGGCATGTGTAGCACATCCAGTATCCACAGCTAGTTAAAGCTGAACTCCAAGGAGCTTCTTTTTGTAAGTACCAGAATTTGACCTTGCTTTAGCCTCTTTCAGTGAATGTATAGCAGTGCTCATGTTTTGAAAAGAGACATGCCGATACTAGAGAGCAAAGTAACCAATAAATATCTGTTCCGTCTGTTGCTTCTCGTTTCACTGTCCATTCACAAGCTAGATGAGGGACAAGACAAGTTAGTGTTACTTTACTGCAGCACTGAAAAATCAGGCCTCTGTATCAATTTTGTTTCTGTAAATAGCACTATGCAAACTGTTGGCGTTTTATAAATTGTTTTATAAAAGTAATAATAATACTAATTATAAATATACTGAATATGTGGATATTTTTACATATTTTTATTTTATTTTAGGGGCATCTCAGGGGAATGGACAGATATCCCAAAATGTAGCCAGTGTTAGTTCAAGCTTCTCAGATGCCTGGAAACGTGGTGAAACAGCTAAGGTATGTCACAAAAAGCGCTCCTTCTGTTATTTAAAGGGGGGTTTCTTTTTGCTCAATAGACTTATTTAGTACCTCCCTCCACCTGCCCAAAACCCTTCATTGCATTGAGGTAGCAAATTCCAAAGCCTGCAGGAGAGACCTCCCCGTTTTATGTTCCTTCTACATGCAGGTGGTCTGAAACTTAGCATCGCCATCTCTTGGGGGACTATTCACTTAAGTGCCGAATGCACCTGACTGAGTAACCAAGCCAAAGTGAACAGAGCCGAATGCTGTTTGGCTATTCACTTCAGCCTTGCCATACATTTGCTAGAATTAGCCATACATCGGCTGCCTTTTGGATGCCTTCAGCTGAGTTGAAGTGCAGAAGGAGTTCGACTCAGCTGATCCATCTGGATCGGCTGAGCCAAAGCTCCGGCAGCTCACTTGCTGCCATTCTCATAAGAGCTGAACAGCAATGAGTGAATAGCATTCGGCATTCTGCTCGGCTATTCTGCTCGATACCTCCCAGTACCGAGCAGAATTGAAATAAGTGAAATGAAAAAAAAAAAACTTGAAAAATTATTTTTAAAATGTAAAATAATGAAGCATCTGACAGCATCCAGCAAAAGAAAAACAATTGGACAGAGCAAGCGATGACAGCTAGCTCCGCCCAGCTGTTTCCTGTTAGCCGGCACCTGGCAGAGTCTTCTAACAGGTCCCGGGCAATGAATAACAACTGGGCGGAGCCAGCTGTGACAGTTGTTATGGTTTAATTTCAGATCAGTGTCCCCAGGTCATTTGGGGACGCTGATCTGTCAGTACAACTAGGCAGAGCGAGCCGTGAGATCATGGCTGGCTCCTCCCAGCTGCCATTTGCGTGGAGATCGGTCAGCTTCGGCCGACCTTACTCCATGCTTCGGGTATCACTACGGCTCAGCCAAGCCAAAGCATAAGCGTTCGGCTCGGCTGCTGTACGGGCTATAGTGAATAGCTCGTACAGCAGCCCCAACCGAATCGAGCCAAAGGATCAGCCAAAGCTATGGCTGGATCCTTTGGCTCTTAATGAATAACCCCCTTGGATTATGGCAGCCCCGAGATGTAACATCCACTGGAAAGCTGACAACTTGTGAAAACATATACATATCATTGTCTTTACTAGTGATTGGCCTCTGAAATGTCACAGACCTGTGATTTTAACTACAGGAATTATTTTTTTTAAATATAATATACTGGAGAGATAGAACAACTTGGTAGAGGAAGAGCCTGTCTGGATTCTGAATATGCAGATAACAAAAAGATGCCTGTAATGTAATTCATCTTATGTCTCCTTATGTGCTAATTTAGGGAACAAGTAGATGCTGTGTATATTTTCTGCTGTTATAGAAATATCAATGCCACCCACAACCCAATAAAACACATGTTGTATCATTAAAAGTACCAATAAAAGACAGACACATTTACATAAGTATGGTGAGAATGTATGGCTTCCATGCCTACCAGAGGTAAGCATGAAGTACTAGACACTGTTTGTTCAAAAGGTTAAAAGCATTTGCTTTGCTTTAACTACAATCTCAATACAAATTAGTCAACTAAACATGAGATTGTATGCCATCAGAGGAGTGAGCTTGGAGCGGTGACTACTTTATAACACACACAGGGACCATGGGGAACAAATGTAGCCACCCTTTTGTGTCAGCACCAATTCAGAGATGATTTGAGGATCTACAGCCGAGTGATACACAAATAAGATACATTTTTGTTAAGAGTTAAAGAAGAACTAAGAGGTAAGTGATTTTCACTCACCTCATAGTTCTAGCCGACCTGTGACACTGAAACTGTCACAGGTCGGCTCAGTAGTTCGTGAAGTGAGCGAACACATACCGGCGCTCGCTCACTTCTCGATCCTGTCACTGCAGAGAGCCGTGACAGGGGAGGGACTGGATTCCCCCCTCCCCTGTCCGATCCTCCAGCGCTGACTGGCGGAACGGACGGGGGAGGGGGCGGGTACAGCTGGCTCTGCCTCTAGATTGGCAAAGCCAGCTGTCACTCACGCAGCTGGGTGGATTCAGACATAATTGTCGGGATCTGTTTCGGCTGCGGCGTCTCAGTATACCGCGAGCAGTAGCTCGCGGTATACTGAGCTTTGGGTGATGGGAGGACGCTAGTTTGTGTCCTCCCGTTACCCTTAGGAGAACTATGGGGAAAAGCCCTAACCCCATAGTTCTCCTTTAAGGTACTTGAATGTATTTTTAAGATTTAACTCCTGAGTTTAGTGTCACTTTAAATAAGCTACCAGCTACCTCAGATAAATACCTTATTCATCTGCTTCTTGTGCTAATGTAGTAGGTTTGTTTAGGGGTGCACCAAAACTACAACACAATAATATAGAAACTTGAGCGTTTATGCGGAAAGTTTATTTATGACAAATCATCTGCCAGTTCTCATGATAAATTACCCGACCCAAGAAAAATACCTGCATAGACAGCAATTCAAAAGCTGCTTCAAAGTATTCTTTCTGGGGTCAAAGCAATTAACTGTCTTTTATAATGGTGTGTTATGATAATGTTTAGGTCGTTCTGTAGATGGATTCCTACGATTAAAAAAAGACTTCTATGTTATGCCAGCTAATTCATCATTCAGTTATTCTGTATCTTAGGGGTTCTTCAGGCTGAACAATAATTTGACCCCTTTATGATATCCCCATTTGTAATCAATCAACCAAGGATGGGAACATAGTCCCAGCGCTATTTCTGTTACCTTGTTGATTTAAAAGACCACTGTCATATAAATGTTTTTAATCTGATAGCTGTAAATGGTTAATGTATGCAATAATGGCATTAAATATATGAATTCCTTTTTAATTACACATGGTTTAATGTTTATTTTAAGTCCACCAAGCTGTCCAGCAACAGGGATGGTGACAGGGGTTGGGACTAACTACCGTATAACTTTGCCATGGGTGCTTACAATGGCAATGCATCCACAAAACATGCTATGTGAAGCCTCCCATCAACCCATATATCTTTTATGTAGTATTTTCTGTATTTCTATAGTGCAGCCCACCCATTAAAGATACAATGCTTCCCTCCTCATCCAGCTCTGGGTGTCTGCACTTCAATACCCAAGTACTGCATACATACCCCATTATAAGAGAGTCCAGCTCCCAGCGGGGGGACTGAAACGAAGGTGGACTTAATGTCACATAAGGGTGGGCTGGTCCTGAAAGTTGGTAACGTTCCACTGTTCTGCAATAGCAGGCACCTCCAGATCTGTTCAGTATCACTACTGAGCACCCCTGAAAAAATCAGAGAGCTCTGTAATGCGACTTTTGAAAAGCTTTCATAGTTGCAAGCAAAGCCATGGGTATAAGGAATTCGCCGATACTAGAAAAAAGGGGGGCATAACAGATGTGTAGCCATCCGGAGGTATGTTTCTTAGCAGTGTTACTTTACCAACTTTTATTCGCTCACCTCCCGATCTACTGAGCCGACCTGTGACAGTCTCATTGTCACAGGTCGGCTAGAACTATGAGGTGAGTGGAAATCACTCATCTCATAGTTCTCCTTTAAGATAGCTATACACTCAGCGAATCTTAACTGATTGATCAGGAACTTGCTCAGTGGTTGGCCTTGTCAGCAGCCTCCCACCCGTCATCCTTTAATCAGAAAATTGGGCTTAGCTGTAGTGGTCGTATGGGCCATGACAGCCCATAAGGGTGAAGCGCATCAGTGAAGGGCAAACCTAAGGTGGGACTAGCGGCTATGGTGTTGCCTCAATCAAGTTGTTCTTATCGCAGTGATGCTGCAGGGTGCATCCAAACCATTTTTTTCCAGACAAAAGTAACCTAGTTTTACTATATCCTTGCTTACATCCTTATTGCCACTTAACAGCACCTGTGTTTTATTAAATGTGTGATGGAGCCATTATACTTCATATGGTTTTAAAGAATTTTAAGTTAATGGCAATTTTTTTTTCTTCTTCAGGATAAGCAGCAACCCGCTGAGGTCAGGAAACCTGAGCAGAAAATCTCACTTCCAACATCAACCAAACTGCCTCCACCTCCACCCACCCGAGGGTCATTCAATACCCATGCGGCTGCCACACCACCATTACCGTTAAAAGCCAAGCCAGCAATCAACATGCTGCCACCACCACCAGAAGCCTTCCTAGAGGAGGATGATTTCCTGCCTCCTCCTCCTCCTCCTGAATTCCTGGATACTCCTCCTGATTTTTTACCTCCACCACCTCCATCTTTTAACTCCGAAAGAGATTACCCTGCTCCTCCTCAATTCCCAAATATAGGAAGCACTGGAGGAGCACCACCTCCTCCCCCTCCCCTACCACCACCCGTTGCCTCATCACCCGTATCAGCAAAACCACAGCTTCCCATGAAAAAGCAGCCACCAAATCCTCCAAGAAGAAGAGACAGTGTAGGACTGAGATCAAACCAACAAAACAGCTTGATGACAAACGGTGGCAGTGCAGGGGGGCAACCTGATTTTATGTCCGACTTAATGAGTGCACTGCAGAAAAAGAGAAGCACCACGACCTAGACTGATCTTTGCACTTCCTGCAGAAATTATCAGCATTTCAAAGGACTTTAGCAAAATGATCAATCATATTTACAAAAGCTTTTGGATCAAAGAGGCAATTTTCTGGTGAGAGGCAGTTAAAGGGAATTTTTTTTTAGGTATACATGAAAAAAGCGATCATTCTTATGTATATAAACGTATTAATTTTGCTATTGTTTTTCAAACCTTGTTTCTGTGTATAGTTTGTAATTATACTTGTACATGGTGGCAGCTATATTTTCTCATTACGTATACAGGCCCTGCTTCCTGCTTAGTTAATGGGTGCACAGTGATTGTAACTTCCTGTTATTCTCTCTCAGTTCAAGTCTACCAGTCTGGAGAATGATTGAGAAAAATGCAATCTCTACAATGGGTACGATATATGTCTTTTATCCAGCGTAAAGTTGGGTGAATGCTGTTTGCATGGCCTTACCACTGCTATAGTGACCCCTTATTGGAGTATTATTGGAGTAAAATATAGATAGTCACTAGTGATAAAAACTACAAATCTGTACACGTAATGCAACAATGGAAAATGGTTATAATTGTTGAAACAACAGGCATGTAAAATTGTGAAGTCGCATTAAAAATTATGTAAACATTACAATAATAACTTAAATGTGTGCTGAATGAAAACTAAAGTTTCTCTTAAAATGATGAATAACGTCAAGACTCTTCTGCATCTTGGAACCTTTATTAAAGAAAAACATGAACATTTACTATTCAGTGGCTAGCATTTATTACATACAGTATGTTTCCTTCAACTCGTGTAAGCTTTTGAGGTATTCATGGCATTCAAAAAGAAATGTTTACATTTTGTACTTTGCCATAGCTGAACATTAGTTAAGCCTGTCTACATAATCTATTAAAAAAGACCTGTACTTTGGAAGCTGTGCCCAAAATAGGCAAACATAGGGCAAAGTCACCTGCATTACCTATTGTCATCCTCTATCAGATCTTTTTCTGATTAAGGACTTACCACAATTAGTTCCACACTGTGTCCCTGTGTGGAGGTGGCCATCTTGGTAGAGGGCAGGCCATTAGCTCATCATTAGCTGCCCCACTGATGACTGGTAATCTGATGACTGGTGGAAGAACATTCAAAAAACATCATAAGAGGTAGAGGAAGCACAGATCCACGTAATGTATGATGCAGAAGCATGGAGAACATTGCACTCCAGGTCTTCAGGTACAGCTTCCTCTTCAGCAAGCAGCACAGTACTTACATCACTAAAAATCACTCCAAATCTGTTGATCTGCAGATATACACCTGAGGCTTAAGGAACAGGAAGTGCACTGCTAATTTTTAGGAATAATTCAAGGCAAAAGGTACATTTTCCAGGGTACTGCTTGTAGTGATCAAATAGCAGTTGTACAAATATATAAATACATATTTATATTTATGTGCGTTGTGAAGATTGGATCTTCAGGAAATATCCAGGCAACCTCAGTTCTTTTCCAGAGAGTAGCGTTTAATTGGATCGAAGTAACAGATGAACAGAAACAGTACGACAGAATAAGAATAAAAATAAAATATCTAGACCTCAGATTACAAAGGCTCCATAAGGACCCACTCTATCTACCCAGCATATATCTCCAATCTATACATGCACCTATGTGCCTCTCTACATGACTCTGATCTCCTTCAGCCACTTTAGGCTCTGAATTCATATACAGTTTAGTGCCATTCACTAACACTGAAAAGACTTCTGATTGGCTGGTCTAATTACCCCTTTGACAAAATTCCCTACAGCTGTTCTACTGTCTAGAATCAACACCCTGAAAACAGGATGGTCAACTGGTCAAGAAACGTACACAATAAAAACCTAGTTAGCATAGGTGTGTTAAACAACATCAACCAAAAGAATGTACTTCAATACATAAGCATACAACCTAAATATACCCCTAATATATCGATTTTAGGGCTGAGGAAATTAACGATTAATTCCTCGTTTAATCATTAAACTTTTTGAGCGATTAAAATTCTTTTGATCGAAAATGAAAAGACTCACCTCTCCGCCGGCTTCCGGGAGTCCCGTCAGAGATCCGGTGACGTCACGGACATCGACATCACCGGACTCCTCCCCCCTTCCCTTCGTTAGCCGACAGAGCCACTTGGGCCCGTGAGTTTGCCCAAGAAGCACCAAGCTTCTGTCTTATCTTAAACTTATATATATGCACTCTCCATTACCCCCCTCTCCCCCATCTCGCTCCCAGAAATAAGCCTACCTCAAATATTAAGCTAATACTTTTGTTTAAATCACCCTTAGGGCTTTGCTGTTTTACTATACTATGTAAATACATTTGTAATCAAGCACGTTATTATTCTGAGTTGCCCCACTCAAGCGGCGGCCATATTGAGTGGGGCACGTAAGATTAATAACGTGCTGGATTAGTGTGATCCTAGTTCATTTTATTACTTCATTGCTGTGCTGTATGTGTATAGGCCAATGTAGTTGGATCTGTATGTGCGTTATAATTAATCGACATTAATCGATTAAAAAAAATTTTGATTAATCGAACACGAAAATTTTAATCATTACCAGCCCTAATCTATTTCAATCATAATTTACAACACTGCTTAGGCACAATTCACATTTCTAGATGTTCCCTATATTTGCTATGCCAATCAGTAAAAATTCTTGTTTTGACCTGTGGTGGCAGTCAACGTCCCAATTCATAAAATGTTACACAAAGGCAATCTTACCTTTTAGCCATGTCACTGTCATTTTCAAAGTCTTATTAGAGTCAGCTGAAAATAATGGTTACTTTTTGAAAAATCAGGATCCTTATTTTATCTTTTAGCTTTGTGAATTGAGCCTAAGGTATGAGGGCACTTTTAGCCTGGACTGTAGATCTGCCAACTGCAGTATTATTATTATTATTATTACATAGTATTTATATAGCGCCAACAGTTTGCGCAGCGCTTTACAATATAAGGAAGACATTACAATCACAATACAATTCAAGACAAGATGGTAAGGAGGGCCCTGCTGTGAGAGCGTATTACCCTTCCATGAAGTATTTCCCACTACAGACTGATGGGATCCAAGGGCCACACAGCAGTACCAAAGGACAGCAGGTGGCCCCTGGTCCATAGGTTGGGCACCAAAGCTCTAGTAGTATTATGTTGTTTTATACGGTCCCTGATCTGCTTTAAACTCTAACATCCTTAATGCTGTATTTTGTTACTAAAAGAATCAATGTGATTATTTAATTAAGAGATTATATTTGTTGTTTCTGTATAAAGCTACAGGACCACTATGCAGACACCTAATATTCTAAATACAGGTGACATACATGCATCCACACCCACCACACAGATCTTGACTAGATCATATAAAGCACCTAAAAATGCATGGATCTTAAAAAAACTGTTACTAACATTAAAAAAATTGCAGATAAAAATCACAGATAAATCAAAAATAAATGCTTTTTCCTCTCTACAATTGTGCTTTTGAACTTGCTAGAAAATCTAACAACTCCAGGAAGAGTAATTCCCTAGCACAGTCCCCTCCCTCCCTGCACATCATAGCCCTCTTCACTTCTGTTAGTGTCTATTTACTGTTGGTGCTGACACAGCTCCCCTGTCCATCCCCTCACCTCCCTAATAAACCTTTTATGTAGTAGCCAGAGAAAGAGTGAAGGGGAATACTATGGAGTGTCACCCCCAGCAGAAGTCTCTGGGCTTTGTGATTTTTACACAAAGAAGGCTTTTACAGGTAAATAACATGCAAAGAATGCATCAAAGGCTCCCATACGAAGATTTTTGATAAAATGTAATTGCTTGGCAACAGGGTCTCTTGCGTTAATCTAAATATGAAAATGTTGCAGATAAACTTACTGGATGTCATCTTAAGGCTTTACACAGTCAAATGTCTTGAGCTCTGATGACGGGGTTATTTGTTTGGCCCTTGAAAAGCGTTGGCTGTCTTTCTTCTGTGAACCATTTAAAAACGTTGGTTTCTTCATTAGACTATATACACACAAAGTCCCAAATCTGAGTCCCCCCTGCTTTTTCGGGGTTCCCCTGCCTTGCAGAGTGCTGTCAAAGTGGAGCTAGGGTGACTGGCTATACTATGGCATAAAACTCAGGAGTTAAATCTTAAAAATACATTCAAGCACCTTAACTATTATCAAAAATGTATCTTATTTGTGTATCACTCGGCTGGAGATCCACTGTCCTCCCTTCTGGAGGGTGGCTACTTATTTTCCTCATGGTCCCTGTGTGTGTTGTAAAGTAGTCACCGCTCCAAGCTCGCTCCTGTGATGGACTACAATCTCATGTTTAGTTTAATAGTTTATATTGAGATTGTAGTCCATCACGGGAGTGAGCTTGGAGCGGTGACTACTTCACAACACACACAGGGAACATGGGGAACAGAAGTAGCCCCCCCTCCAGAAGGAAGGACAGTGTCGGCACCAATTTAGAGATGATTTGAGGATCTACAGCCGAGTGATACACAAATAAGATACGTTTTTGTTAATAGTTAAGGTAATTGAATGTATTTTTAAGGTTTAACTTCTGAGTTTACAGTCACTTTTACTGTTCCTTTGAAAATATGTAAACAACCCATTTCTAAGCTTTGCTCCCTTGACCACTGATGTGATTTATGTGGATTCAAGTGCCCAAGTGTCTGAAGTCAGGGAAGACGTGACAATGTGTAACAATAACGTCAAACACCACAGCCTATTCATTCTCATTTACGTCACGCGTGTATTAAGCTGATCCAGGACCTCCCAAGCTTAAATGGACAGAGATGAATATATGTTTTGCTTGTGATCTACTGCAGAAAGCTTAAATGAGGTGGAATCTCATAATTTACGAGAAAATGAAGTGTTATCTGTGAATAAAACAGAAAAAGGTGAAACCAATCAAGCTAGAGAGCGAAGCTAGCATGCAGCACGGTTTGTTGTGTTAACTGCGGAGGCTGGAAGGGGCCGGCTACACCTATGAGGGCCACCTGCTCCAAATTAGCGCAGACCTGCTCCGGCAGCTGCATTCTGGCACCATAATTAATGGCAGCAATTACGGGACGTTTGAATTTCCAAAGAAATTATCTTTTGGCATAAGTGATCTCAACCAGGGCTGCCCAAGGGCATTGTGTGCATAGAACGGTGGTGTATTTTTAGGCAAATGTACACAGGGGATCATTTATATAAATTGCAATAAAGAAAAAACAGGGCTGCTCCCCATATCACACCAATAATGCTTGTTATTATTCTGTTATATAAGTACTAAGAAAAAATAAAGTGGAAATTTGCCTTCTAGAACAAATAAACCATGAGAAGGAGAGTGCGTATGACATTTTAATCAGTCTCGGTTAATAAAAACTGTGCGTTTGACTCTGTGTGCGCGTCATGACGAGCAGCTGACTTTTAGGTTTTTAGCCCATTCTGGAGGTTTCTGGGTGTACCCAGCACGTTCTGCCATCTCCTGCCTGTGAAAGGGCTGACGTAAAACTCTCTGCAGCAGACGAACCTGTCAACACAAATAAGCGTGGTTAATGTCAAAGAATAAGAACCCTCATAGTACGCAACCTATATCAGCCAATCAGGTTTCAGTTTTCATCACTTCTCAGACAAGGACAAGACGACTGGTTCCTACAGGTTCCTTTAATGGGTTAAATAAAAGTCATATTATTGATAAAGATATATTTTGCTTCTTGACTTATCATGAGTATTATGTTTTTTCTGACCTTACTTTTTTTTCTGAGCCGGTTCGCCCAAGCCCGCTTAAAACTCTGACCACCATTCCCTCCTTCCAACCCAATCTGTGGTAGCAGCTGCGGCATGGGCGTTCCCTGCCCCTTTGTGATGTATAGCTGTGGGGCGGGGAATGTGCCTCCCAGCAACTGATTGGTCCGGAGGAAGAGGTGGCGGTCAGAGTTTTGAGAGAGCATGAGCAAACTCATGTAAACTGGGTTTTCACAAAGCCCAGGCTCATCTGTACTCACCACTGTTGTGAGGGTTTCCTCCATTTGCTCCAGCATCTACTATGGAAGAAAAAGCCTCATCACTAGTGGTGAGGACATACAAACTGCATGAAAAAGGCCCCTGCTGGGAAGTGAACCTACGACTTAACTTCTCTAAGTGCTCCCCTGCTGGAATGCCCAACATCTCCTTTCAGGTTACCGAGATAAATAGAGGTGGAGGTGTTCTGTAGCACTATAGGGAAGAATCCAGGCAGGGCCTACAATACTGCTTGAGATTTCAATTCAGCAGAGGCACTGATTTATCAGTTCACTATGGGAAGTCATCAGGTCAGTACATTTCTGGCAGATCCTACTTGCAGTGTTTGCAAAGGAACAAAACATGGGGAAATTGGCATGTATTGCAGAGATACTGCATTTCTTTAAATTTGCCCAACACATTAACACACATGAAGTTTACATGATTTACTTGATTTTTAAATGCTGAATTACACAACAGGAACTCTGCTGTCATATCTGCTTCTTGGAGCCCCATCTGGTCAGCTCTTTTCCTCTTCACTGTCTAGCTTCCTCTATCAGGCAGCATGAGACATCCTGAAGCTATAACATCAGTCCCATTGATGGATTGCTGATCTGTGACTGATATATTCTGTGGTTCTGCTGGTCGTCTTCTGGGCAAGTAAGGGGAAGCAGGTCTCTGTGTTGCCAGCACAAAGAAAAACCTTGTGATGAGCTGTGACTGGGGGGTGTTTATAATGATCAGGTTTGAAGACCTGAATCCTGCAAAAAACTCCTTTAAAGTGACATTAAAGGACAATTTTTCGCCTCCCCCCAATGTTAATGTCAGCACTTACCTTAAATGATGTCTCTTAATCCGATCTTCCTCTTCTTTCCTGATGTTTTCATCTGTCCCTCCAGTGGTGCGGCGGCTCTCCGATCCAGCGCCGACTCCTCTCTGCTTGCTTGCACTTCTGATCCCACGGTCTCTCCATGCTGGTGCACGCGTTCATAGACTTACCTTAGGTAAGTTTAAACCACTGTTAAAGCGGGTTTTTTTTTTTTTTTTACTTTATGCCTATATCTACCGCTTGATAGCAGTAAATACAGGCAAAAAAAACAGAGGGTTTAGAAACCCCTTTAATGTGTATGCAATCCCCAACAATGAACTTCTCTTATTTGCTCCCTTTTGGTCTGTTAAATATAACTTAGAAAGTGTTTTGTTATATCTGTTCAATAAGTGCAAAAAATACCCATTGATCATGTTAAATATTCAGAGCTGTCCAGTACTCAGTTCTTGTGTTATTCAAGGAGAATAATTAGCTCCGCTGGTTCTTATCGTGAGACAACAGAATGATTGTGCCGCCCCAATGGGGCGTAGAATATGACATAGCCTCAGTTATATTCATGTTGATATAGTTAAGAAATTATATGGTTATTTCCCTATGCCATTTTCTCACATCATCTATGTTTTATTCGATGCTGCAATCTAGTGGCCTTTCTTCAAACATGTTCTGTGTTCCCTTTGTGACGTATTTCCTCTTTGTGTAAGTCCCACCCTTCTTCCTGAGTGCAGTACTTCCTGTGTCATGGCCACAGCTAACAGGCCACATGTAACTAAGACACATGTACTCTGCACAGTACGCTAGAAAAGGCATAATTTTTCGACCGCACAATACTATAACCATTCATCTGCTGTCCTGTCATCTGCTGTAACCTTGATGTTCAGAATAAAGCACCCTTTTGAATGAATCGGTATTGGTGAGTTCAGCTATCTGACAAGGATTGTCCGCAGTGAGTATATCTGCTTATACAGGCCAGGCATAGAGGTCTCAGCAAGGGATATATTTCGCTATCACAACAATCGGAGTCAGAATAATGATTATTGTCTGTGGAGATGAGGATAGAAGGAGGGTTTGAGTATTTTAGCACAAGAAAACCAGGCAGGGCTGACACAAAAATGTTGTGTGTTTTCAACCCACAACAGGACTTAAGCTGGCTGTACACGGGTAGAATTTGATAATTGATGATACGTTTCAGCCGCAAACAGCTGAGCAGGCTTTTTTCTCGAACGAACAAAATCCTAACAGTGAACGTGGCATTTGTTCGGGAAACTCTATTCATTCCAAAATTGAATGTTAAAATCAAACGAAATTTGAACGACATTCTGCAAGTCTCTGATGGCATTATCGAATGTTCTGATTATTCATATGAACATGCATACGAAAATCTACCAGTGCATGGCCAGCTTCAGGAGCAGAGTGCATTATTGGCAGATCACCAGATATATTTTATATATATATATATATACAGTATATATATACACACACACATACATACATATTTTTTTTTTTCAATTTATTTTTTTGCTGTGACATACACCAAAAAAAGCTGTCCAGCATGTCGTAGATTAAGTGGGTAGATGGGAAAGCACAGTTCTTGAATTGTCGGTCAGGATGCAGCACCATTGTCAGAATCCTGGGGTCATTTTCCAAACTGGGCCACTATCTCCATGGAGTTTGTAGGATTTCTTCATGTTAGCTAGCATATTTTTAGTTTTGGATAGAGTAGGAAAAAGGCAAATTGTCTGACCCCCGTGGAGAAATTTTCCCCTCACAACCTATGCCTGCGGCTCCAAAATGGGGGGAGCAGTTGTCACTGGGAAAGAAAGGGGTGGAGAGAAATAAAATCATTGGCAGAAGTTCTAATTCTTCTCCACTACACAAAAAAGATAGGTTCTTGTTTGTGTCTGATTGGAGAGATTTCTGACAGTAAGTGAGGGGAAGTTTCCAAAAATAGAGACTCAGCTATAAAAAAAAAACCTTCCTCGTTCTATCCAAATCAAAATAAAATGTTTTGACTGGAATTGGACTTTAAATTAACCCTAATCCAAGTTGCCTTGTCCATCATAGCTGTTCCTAAGCCTGCTCTGAAAAGGAGGAGGATATGGCATCAAGTTATGAACTTGGTTCTGTGTCATTCTACTGGCACAGTCATCTTGTAACTTCTAACTTCTGGTGATTTTGCCATCTCTGAGCCCTGATGAAGGAGGAGATTGTGTGAGCCCCCGAAACATGTTGGATGATTTGTGTCATCCTGTTATATTAATGTTAATATTAAAACAATTTGGACTGTGGGGCCTTTTGTTTAGCGCTCTCATTAGATTTTCATTGACATGGCATGAAAGCAATACCTGAGCGCCATAGCAAGAGCTAACTATACACATGAAGGAGGTGGTAACCACTAGATCAGTGGTTCTCAACCTGTGTAACCTCAGGACCCACATTTGTCCTTGGTCTTTAAATCGCAACCAAGTTGCATTGCAAAAGAACGCACGGCATGTGCTACCGTGCGTTCCGATGTGGGCAATAGAACTCTGGATGGGAGATGCATTTGGGATGCCATTCAAATGAATGGCAATGCAATGCACTTCCCACACCAGAACACATGGTAGGTGCGATTGCGTGGTACAGTGCGTTAACTGCACAGGACTGTTCGATTAACGCACTGCACTAGTGTGAATGGGCCCTCAAAAACACTGACAGACACACACACTCACAGACATTCTCACACACACATACACAAAATGTAATTTAAAAAAAATCCTACCAGTCTCTCTACCTTACGAGAACTGTGGTGGATCCTCAGCTGGGGGTCCAGTGTGGGCTGCTGTGCTGTGACAGAGCTCCATCCATATGTGCATTGCTTGTACAGCTCCCTTGCACACCCTGCAGAGATGCCAGGAGCCAGAATGTGACGTCACTCCGATCCAGGCATCTCTACAGCACATGTGAGGGAGCTGTAAGCAATGCATATATGGATGGAGCTCCCTCGCAGCCATACCTCCAGCCCACCCAACCCCACCTCAAGCTGACACTCAGCACCGGGCAGCATATTTTGACAGTGACAGCATTTATTCCTGACAGTGCTGCGCTAGGGGGAGGTGGAGGAGCCTCTCACCTAGAAAAGTGGAAGGCACGTGGCGACCCACTGAACATGGGGTTGTGACCCACCAGTTGAGAATCAAGGCACTAGAGGATGTTCACAAGATTCTAGTAGGATACTTATCTTTGGAGCAGAAGATGCACCTCCAGCAGAAGGAAAATCTTGTATTTAACTTATTGAAAAGGGTTTGAGCTCCTGACCTTTTATACTGTCAACCCACACAATATAAAAATGTTACCTACTGAGTAATACTATACTCATCCCTAATTATTAGCTGTCACAGCAATAAAGAGGGAACTCGAAACAGCAAAAATAGACACATCAATGTCTATATTGTATTCACAGGACAGATACAATCCATTCCCCGCAACGTGAACAGGTATGAATAATGTATCTTGTAGATGATGTCTCTCTTATCGGTGATGATTCTCTTCAAATCCAAGCTTGTGCTGATGAGGTATCATTTTGTATTTTTCTATATTTGTAAGCTGCAGGTCTACCAACAATATGACTTTATAACGATGTATAGATTTTATATTGTATGCTACAAATCGATGCTCATTCTGTAACAAATGACCCAGCAGGACTGTTTAATGATGTCATAAATGTCTCATCTGAAAACCTCTTTAAAGGAGAACTATGAGGTGAGTGATTTTCACTCACCTCATAGTTCTAGCCGACCTGTGACAATGAGACTGTCACAGGTCGGCTCAGTAGATCGGGAAGTGAGCGCACCTCTCGATCCTGTCATGGCTCTCTGCCGTGACAGGGGAGTGGCTGGATTCTCCCCTCCCCGCTCCGATCCTCCAGCGCTGACTGGCGGAACGGGGGGGGAAGGGGGCGGGTACAGCTGGCTCTGCCTCTAGATAGGCAGAGCCAGCTGTCAGTCACGCAGCTGGGCGGATCCAGACATAATTGTCGGGATCCGCTTCAGCTGCAGCGTCTCAGTATACCGCGAGCTGTAGCTCGCGGTATACTGAGCTTACTGTGACGGGAGGACTCTAGTTTGTGTCCTCCCATTACCCAAAGGAGAACTAAGGGGTAAAGCACTAACCCCATAGTTCTCCTTTAACCACATTAGTACAGTTTTGTAATTTTTGCACACGTTTACTACAATCTGGATTTTTGGATAAAAAATTACTTTAAAACCCCAAACAAGTATTTTCTAAAACAAGAAGCCCTCTAGAATAAGAAATATTGTAGCTGCCTGTTTTATGTTGCACGATTTTTGTGCATATATTTATCAAATCCATATTTTTAGGAAAAAAAACACTTATATGAATTTTAGTGCACGCATCTTTTATATTTGGTAAAATTTTAAAAATGGGGTTACCCCGAGTAAATAGATACCAAACATGTTAAGCGTTAAAATTGCGTGCGCCCGTGCAATGGCGAAAAGTTATGGTACTCAAAATTGTCCATTGGCGACACTTTAAAAGCCTGTACTGCTCATCAGTTTTGAGTTAACAGCAAATTATGGACCTAGAATTTTTGCTCTCACTCCGACATTCGTGGTGATACCCATGTAAGGCGCAATTGCGTTTTCGTTCATGCAGATGGTGGGGTTGGTTTTAATTTTTTGGTATTTTTATATTATTTTTTAAACTTTTTTATCACTTTTTTTATTTCTTTTTTCATGCAACAGTATTTTGAGGTGACAGGTTCTCTTTAAGCAAAATATAAAGACACCGGCACTCCAATAGCGAGTCAAATACATCTGTTTAATAACGTATGAGCAGCATAATGTGATTAAGAGACATTGGGGGTCTTTTGGGCCCCAGATGCCCCCCCTGCCCTCCAATGCAGGAGATCGAGCACAGAATTGCGCCCAATCCCCTGTGTAAATGGTATTTCAGCTGACCTCTAACAACTGTGACTCAGCAAACGCTGTGAGTACAGCTAGAGGAGCAGGGGACACCAAAAAACCATGGTCGCGGGTGCAGGGGAGTGCCCCTATGCAGGCCGCTACAAAAAGAGAATCGCCTGCTGCAGCCATGATCTTGGTATAACTACTTCTGGACCAGGATGTATATATAGTGTACGGACAGTGGTTCTCATGTAGTTATTAATTGTTTCTGGGGTAGACTGCCAAACAGCACATAGTCATAAGCAAGCCGCCCCATGCGTATTTCTGTTTGACTAAAGGTCATCGAAACCCACATATGCAGACCAAATGTAGCAGTGTCGGCATTATCAGTTAACTTGACAATCACTTTATGACATAAATCATTTTTTCATTGTTTTTCAAGGACAGATTCGGCTTTTATTTAATACACTTTTTTAATAAATACACGGCTTCGATTATTTTTTACCAATCAAGGAACAAGTGTCCCTCGTGTTAAAAATGAGGTGCTCATTATTCTAGAAGATTTTAGATTTCTTTGTTATAGACATAACATTGTTTTCATGATTTTTCTATACATTTATAAACAATTCACAATGCTGCTTGTCCTGTGAATATCTGTGAAAGTTTGCTTTGTGTACTTTCTGGAGCGCTACAGCTATACCTGAATCTTATTGGTGGTGGGTAGAAATTTCTTAGAACTGATATTTGACATCAGTCTTTGTGTATGTGAGAGACGGCAAGAAGACTCCAATGGGTGTGTTTGGGATTATCTTTCCTGCATTGCATACAGGCGTTCTCAGATCACCATATTAACAACAAAAAGAAGTCCTGGAGCACTACAGCTAACACCTGGATGAAAAACTGAAGTGTCGCCTTTTTTTTTTTTATTGTCTCATTGTTTTTAGGTGGCAGGTTCTTATGGAAAGGACATTCACAGCTTTTGGTTCTTTGTTTGCTGCACTGCCACTTGTTTTGTATCTACTTTTGGTCTTCCCCCAAAAGTAGAACATTTTTGATTAGTGAAACATTTAGCCTGACTGGCTGCTATGAGCTACAGCTTTGCTTTGCTCTGATTATCATAATACAGCAATTATACTATATGTCAAACTCACCTGTGAAAAGTCATTCCTCTCTGCCTTGAGAACTGCTGATTCGGCCATCCAGTTCCGCAGGATGTATCTAGGGTTAGTGTCTGTAAAAGAAATCTTGCTTCTATCATTGTATCTAAAATATTCCTTATTGTAATAGTTTGTAGAGAACATACAAAACCTTATAGAACGCATAGATCATTTCCATGTACACCGTATGATTGTAATTTCATAATGTAATGGGCTTATTGTCTAATTCTACTTTGTCTTTTTAATGATTTCCCATCATCCTCCTCTCCAGTATAAAAAAAATACTTTGCCAAGCGCTATACTTAACCTCTCCATTCACCAGCACTGGCCTTTGTGTCATACTTCCTGGTCCAGTGCTGTTCATCATCCGGATTGAATGACGCCCAGTTTTATTCAACCTTCTTCTTATGGACCCAGGGTGTCAAGGACCCATTCCCAGGAGTTATGCCATCAAGCTGCCCTGGGCTTGCAAGAGAATGCTTCAGAGAACAAGCCACTTTATTACATGAGTGCTGTTCTCTGCAGTGTTCAGGTATCGCCATGGACAGAATAGGACCCCTCGCGTCATGTTATCAGTCCAAATGCATCAGAAATAAAAAGTATACAGGACATTAAAAAATAAATAATTTAACCAATCATGTGTCTGTGTACCAGCACAGTGGTTATATGGTTGCCATTCTTGCAGTGCTGCCGTCCTATATTCAATTCCCATCCAAAAATGCTATCTGCGTGCATTTTGTATGTTGCCCCTGATATACAGGAATGGATAAATGCCTATCAACAGGAAAAGTTAAACAAATAATGACCACATATAGAAGAAAATCAAAACAGAAACATAAAACAGATACAACAAATTCAATAAGTGCTGAGGTGGGACTGGATTAAAATTAAATGGTTTATTATAACTGACTGCAGTTCAACTTTTAGTTTCGCAACAATCTTACTCCTCATCCGTCTTCTTCTTTCAGGATTGGAGTCTTCTGGGTTCCTAAAATACAGAAGAAAAAACATACCTTAAAGTCTTGCCATCCCCTCCCTTCACCTTCCAAGGGTCTCTCTTGGTCCATAAAAAAGCTCATCATCAGGGCCGGATTTACTCTCTCTGCTGCCCCAAGGCCAGGTTCCTCAATGCGCCCCCCTACCCGCCAACCCTCTCCCCATGGAGAATGGCAGACCTGCAGGCTGCATACAAGTGATCTTGGCGAAATCGTGGAGATCACTTGTAAAAAACAAGCGCCGGCTTCCCCTCTGTACATGTAGCTCTGCTTGCCCAAAGCAGGGCTAAGTGTAGAAAACAACTACCCGTCTGGTGCCTGGAACTGCATGTCCCGGGCATCAGGAGATAGGAATTCCACACCCCTGCTGCCCCTCTAATCCCTGCTGCCCCAAGGCCGGGCCTTGGTTAGCCTTGTGGGAAATCCGGCCCTGCTCATCATATTAAATGATCATGGCAGAGGTTCGGGAGGTTGGTTTTGAAGGGCCGAACTAACCTTTACATGAAATGTCAATTTGTGCATGTAACTTCAATGTTCCGTATCTGTGGATCTATTTTTTATCATATGATCAGCATGAATTGTTGGGGGAAATAGGACAGGTTCAGTGTAAATGCTCATTTCAGGGGGTAGGTCAAGGGTTATGGGTTTAGTATAAGGGAGGGTCAAGTGTAATGGTGTACTTTACAGAGGAGCATGTAAGGTGCAGATAATAATCAATCAAGGCAACTTGATTGGTTAACACATTACAAAAGATTCCCAGAACATTATGGATTATCTAAAGAGACAGCACTGCAAACTCTCCTTATGTCTGATAAGGAATGAATCACCGACCCACGTGCTTAAAGTAGGCCTTGCACCTAAATGGGAAGGTCTTCCTTTCTAGTTAAAAAAGCTGCATTACATCTAAAAGAAAAACTGTCGGGGAAAGTTAAATAATATAGTTACCTGTCCTTCAGCTTCTCCCCACGGTGCCTAGACAAGGGCTGACATCAGTCTTCTGGTGATATCCCAGGGAAGGCCAAGCATCTCAAATCATGCTGTATAGATGATCCTGCCCTGTGCCTCAGCGTCTTCTAACATGATTTTAAGTAACCAGCATTGCTCAGGATCTCCTCGGCAGAAAGATGATGGTGCTTTACTTACCTTTCCTTGGCTTTAGTGGGGGCACTACTAAAGCCAGGGAAAGGTAAGTAAAGCACCACTTTAATGGGAGACTGATTTTTTTTTCTCCTGCTGAATTACATCCAGCATCATTCAACCAACTTCCTCTAAGCCCAGGCTATCATGGACTTCCCTTGCCTGTGTCTAGACAGTGAAGGAGAAGAATTAAAATGCAATGAGCTAATCTCTTCTTCACTCTGCATCCTTTTCTATCAGCATATGAACTGACTGGCTCTTTTTGTTGACTGGCTCCTTTTGTTGCTTTTTCCACTCCAAGCCTGAGCTCTGTTGTATAGGGGATACCAAAAGGCAAGTCAGATATTGGTACTTACACTGTTTGCATTAAAAATGTAATGATGTAATAATACAGCATTAATTTGTCTCTTTTATGGCTGCTAGAGTTGAGATTTAACCTATCTAGGCAATCCAGGGGGCTGGATAGACTGAGGGGGGGGG